GGGCACATCCCCAGTGGGGGGTGTGCAGGAGGCAGCTGGTCGATGTTTCTCTCTCATCGATGTTTCTAACTCTCCCTTTCCCTTCCTCTCTGTAAAAAAATCAATAAAATATATTTTTTAAAAAATAAAATAATATGCCTTCAATGTCATTAAACTAAGGACAATGAAAGGTTAATGATTTATATTTCCCCTCCCTAAACAAAAGTTAAATAGCTTATGTCAAAGTCCTTAAAGGGACCGATAGCTGTGATCCAATTAATGTTAGCTACTGTTAACAAAGACGAAGTTAAATAATGAGCTTTATTTCAAATTAATTTAAATTGGCTAATTGAAATAAATGAGTGTCTGAGAAAACGTAACTGTACTGTACACGCAACTGTTCCTGAAATATTAAAAAAATTTTATTGATGGTTCATCTAATCACAACAATTATTTAACATTTAATAAGTCCAAAGCAGTCATACCTCGATACAAGAAAATGAGTTTAAGTATTCCTCTCCTCATCATGTTCTCCAACAGTGATGTTGAACCTTTTGAGCTCGGCGTGCCAGCATTTTGAAAAACCCTAACTTAACTCTGGTGCCGTGTCACACATAGAAATTTTTTGATCTTTGCAACCACAGTAAAACAAAGACTTATATTTTTGACATTTATTTTATGTATTTCAATGCCAATGCTCTCATTGCTTGCCGGTCTTCTTCCGAGTCCTAAACAACCCAATCCGAGAGATGGCCGCTGATTTCCACGCGCTACGTTTAAAAAAATAAGAAAGGGGGAGATGCCGGGAGCCGCTCCATCCTTGCTGCTTGACATAGTCGCTGCACGGAAGAAACATCTGCACAGCCTATGTTCCAAGGGACCTGGCGTCTACGGCATCCTTTTCTTAATATGTTTGCTCCCCTTCTTAGCGCTATGTGTTCTAAGCAGGGCCACCTCCCCGAGAAAGGTGGTTTCCCCAGGTGGGGATGTTTCCTTGGAGTTAGAGATGAACGGGGTTAGGGAAGGGAATAAATCAGTAAAACCCCTTAACTAAGTGTCAGGCGGGTAGTTAGTCACCTTAACTACAAAAAATCACACATCACAAGGTACATAATCCTTACTCAGGTCATAGAATAGGAACATCTCCTTCAGTTATTTCCTTAGTAGAGGCCCGGTGCACAGATTCGTGCACTGGTGGGGGGGCATGGCCTTCGGGGATCGGCCCGCTGTGGGATCGCACTGGTACTGATAATATCTACAATTCCTACTGTCGCCGGAATTGTAAATATTATGAGTATTCCTGTCATTTCTCAGCTTTCTACCAGTAATCTCGGTGATTTGACACGGCCATAGAGATATTACGGCTCTATTTACTTGTACTTCCAGTGTTTCTTACGCATTCCTAATCATTTCCTGGGACTATCACTGTGTATTTTAAGAGTTTTACCACAATTAGACAGTTTTTCTTGGCAGTATATACATGCATCTTCAGGATTTAAACTGTTTTCTTCCAAAACCGCCAACCAATTCAGCCTCGATTGTAAAATATAAACAGGATCCTCCTCATTTAAAGGCTTTATACACCAATTCTGAGCTCTATAAACAGGAATTCGTAATGTTTGAAAGCACTGTTTTTCTGAAAACGGCAACTAATGTCATAGCGACCGGTCGACTGGTTTTTCTGCCCTTGGGTCAGTGGGCTTTTATTATATAGGACAGCTTAACAGTAGAACAATAAGATAATGAGCTTGGAACAGAGACAACAAACCAGGCCTTCTAATGGAACACACAGAGACCAACCTAGACAAGATGAAGATCCGCAGAGCTAGATAGAGATCAGATTTTTAGCAAAAGGTCAGATACGAAACGATAAACATAAAACAAGGAATTGTAGGGGGTCAGTGGCGGAACCCCAAACAGATGATGATGCAACTGCAGAGGCGTGCTTATGGGATCAAATGGTACAAATACAGATGTAACAGGAGAATAGTGGATGTGCTGATGGTCTGAACGCTGTGCCTGGATCCTTCATTCTTCGCCGACTCCGTCCACACCTTTGGGGACCCCTGGACCGCCTGGGCTGGACCCCGGCACTGAGGTCCTGGGTGGACGTGGATTTGGGGGGACAGTCTTCACCCCAGTTCCTTTGTGTCTGCTTCCTTCCTTAGCCATGAGAGCAGCCAGCAGGATCCGATCTCCAGCTTGGATTTCCAAGGAGGAGGCCGCCTGCCCCGGAGACACCCTGCCCCCCATCGCGCCCCTCCCTGTGCGCCCCGATCCCGCCACCAAAGGCCCGTCTTAGCTCTCCGTTTGCAGGCTCCAGGGCGGACCTTCTGTCCAAGGACCCCCAACCCAGCACCGTGAGTCCCCCGTGGCTGTCAGTCCCTGGGTTCTGTCCGTGGGCCAGCGCCGGTGCGTGGACGCTGGGAGTCGGAACCGGCTTCAGAGACAGTATGGGGTGCCTTCACCATAACCTGGGGCAGGGTTTTGGGAAGCGCCCTGATTTGGGAGAAGGAGGCGCGGTTCCGATGGGCAGGGTTTTGGGAAGCGCCCTGATTTGGGAGCAGGAGGCGCGGTTCCGACTGGCAGGAGGCGCGGTTCTGATGGGCAGGGGCCCAGGAAGCTCCCTGATTTGGGAGCAGGAGGCCTGGTTCTGACTGGCAGGAGGCTGGTTCCAGCGCGCAGGGGTCCAGGAAGGGAACCGATTTGGAGCAAGAGGTGAGGTTCCCACGCGCAGGGATCAGTGAAGGTCCGGATGTGCAACAGGAAGCGTGAATTCCGACGCGCGGGGGGCATGGCTCCAACGGGCAGGAGTCCTGGTTCGGACGTGCGTGGGGCGTGGCTCCAACGCCAGGGGTCCTGGATGCGCCCAGCTTTGCAGCAAGAGGCGCCGCTCCAACGCGCAGCTG